AACAGAGGACATGGACAGAAGAAGAGACGCCTCTACAGCCCCTGGCCCTCAAACAGACAATTACAGGTCAGCCTCACAACAGCCTCTCTGGCAGAGATTCGTCGTCTTGCTCACGGACACTTTAGAAGGACCGATGCATCAAAGCTCCCGTACAGCTCGCCAGCGGCTAAACCTCCCGCCAACTGCCGATTAACTGACACTGGCTGTGGGATAATAAACAATGACATCATGCCATGTGCTTCGGGACGAGAGGATCCATCTACAAAAACGACGCTGATTAACCCCAGGAGACGCCAGCGCTCGCAGCCACAGACTCCAGGTTATACCCATTCCTCCGTCCCAATTTTATACTTGCCTGCTGACATTCCCCATACACAGAGCAGCGGGGGGGAGAAAAACTAGGGTGATAAAAAACAAATACGACCACAATTTTTCTTTTTTCCTTGTCTGTCTTCTGAGCCAAATTGTTTCATTGGATTGATATAAACACTGACTCACATGAGCCGATGATTACACTGTTTATAGAACACACATGCTAGCGCTGGTTTCCCTCATTAATCCCATTAGGAGCTTTGGAGAGAAGAGTCAACTTGTTCACATACTTTACAACAACCCACACTCCTGAGCGGTGGCTGCTTTTTTTGCAAGATGGTGGCGTTTGGGTCAACGTCAGACGCGGGGTGGAAGTTGTTTATCGGCGGTCAACTTGCTCGTGTTACATCCCTCGTCATAAACACAGCGATGAACAAACCAGCAGTGTGTGTTTGTGTGTCAGTCTGTAATATTCCACTGTTGCCTTGTTCCCCTCTGAGTAAGGTAACAATTACTTCCCAGAAACAGAAGAATACAACCAGGAAAAAGAGATTTAGAGTCTGTTTAAGGATCCCAACAGGAAACATGATGACAGGAGCTTTGAGAGTCTGATCTGCCTTTATGGACCTCAAAGACAGTAAAACCAGCGCTTTATTAAAAACACACTCACCGTGTCCCTGAAGCCATCGTATTTGTAGACGTGCCCCGAATTGGTGCCCAGCTTGATGCCGTGACCTAAACACACTCGCCTCCACTGGGCCAGGTTGAGCTCACCAGCCGGGATGCTGTCCACCTTCCCCGTCTTGCTGCTCTTATAAACCACAGTTTGTTTGCCGAAACGCAGCCGCCCATCATTCTGCAGCGACAAAAGGGAAGAGACACAAACAGACATAGGACGTGTGATAAACTGCTTGGTATTAAAGCACCAAGAAAGAGTTTGTTCATCGTAAAACTGAAAAGAGATTGATTAGTCAACTGACAAAAATTTAATCGGCCCATATTGACGATAGAGTCACTGTTTAAGTTGTTTTTTTCAAAGCAAAAAATGTCAAAAATGTACTGGTTCCAATTGTTTCAGATGTGAACATGTTCTTCCTTTTAAGTCATCTAGATTAAGAATATGGATTTGTGGGTTTGGGGCTGTTGGTCAGACAAAACAAGCAGTCTGAAGTCAGCAACTTAGGCTCTGGAAAAATGTGATGTGTCATTTTCCCCCTTTTTCTGATATTTTTAATAGACTACTAAAGAAAATAATATGCAGATGAATTATAACTAAAAATAGCTGTTAGTCGCTGTCCTAGTTCTTAAAGATAGCTTCTTAACAATAATGATTTTGCAAGGAAATAATGATCTTTTTGGTCATACAAAATCAAATGTTACCCTTAATCTGATAAACCTTGAAATTCAGTAATGAGCTAAAGAACCACAACTTAAACCGGGAATGCACCCATATGTTTTTACCTGTATCAATCATAATGTACGAGTTACAGTACATACAAAGCAGGTTACTCCTTTCAGACTCATGCCTTTATACAGATGTTACATGCTCATTAATTTGATGACATGGTGTTTTATTTTTCACAGCTATATTCAAAAACACAACCTTTAAATCTATAAACAGACACATATTTGGAGTAAGAATACTGCTGAGCTGTCAAGGTGTATATCATTCTGTGTATTAGTAATATTCTGAACTGCAGTCCAGCATCTCACACACACACACACACACACACACACACACACACACACACACACAC